GTAGGTGCATGCACACATGCCTGGCCGGCTCTCAGGCCACCGACTGGGATTCAGACTGTGGTTGGCCATGTGGAATACGGTTCTCTTATCCACTGGGCTCTGGAACCCTCATTCCATTTTTTTTTAATTTGGAAAATTTCAGAAGTGTTCAATTTCAAATAAGTTTCTATTTCCATACTTATTTTTATGGCTAAGAAGTATGATAGCTGATCAATAAAAGACTTTCAAGCATGAAACAATTACAGTAGGACAGACATCTGTAGGGAAAAGTCAAATGGAAATACATATTTAAAAAGAAAAAGATGCTATAAAATTTCCAAGTTAAAGCGTTTGTTTATGTGTTATTTAAGTGAGTGATGATGGGCACCGGATCAGTACGGCATATGGATTCCATTGGGCACATTACAAAAGGGATGTTAGGGTTTTATTTTAAAAGTTATTAGTCACAACAGTCTGGTAATTATATCCTTTGTGACTATTTCAAGTTATTGTGAAAAACTTTATATGGCAACTTACAGCATGTGAGGGGCAGGTGGGGTTTTGTGAGGTTCCTTCAGAAGGTAGGGGGCATCCAGGCAGAAGGCCCAGCCAGGCCTCCTCATGGCGGTTTCTCCCAGCACTGCTTTCTCCGGGGCCCCCAGAGCTGGAGCCCCAGCCGAGCAGGGAGAACCTGGGAGGAGCTTCATCCCGAGGTGCTTCTGGTTACCAGGGAAGAGGGGATGCTTTCTCTGTCTCTGGAGTTGAGGCAGAGGGAGACGAACTGGGGGGAGGGGCAGGAGTCAGCTGGGAGGCTGTCACCAGGTCCTTGGTAAGAGATGTGGGATCCAAACGGTGGAGCCTGGAGGAGCAGCGGGTCCGATGTGGGGAGGTAGACAGTGATGGGTGGGAGTGGGCAAGGGAGATGCAGAAGTTGAGATTGCTTGGGGCTTTTTACATGAGAGCAGTTCCTCCCCCCACCCGTGTGTGTGTGTGTGTGTGTGTGTGTGTGTGTGTGTGTGTGTGTGTGTGTGTGTGTGTGTGTGTGTGTGTGTGTGTGTGTGTGTGTGTGTGTGTGTGTGTGTGTGTGTGTGTGTGTGTGTGTGTGTGTGTGTGTGTGTGTGTGTGTATAAATATTTTAAGAACCCAGACCACTCAGCTTTCCACGTTGCTTTGCCATGAACAGCTGCATATGTTTGTCAGCTTTGCCCACCTGAGTGTGAAATGATGTTCTATCAAAACATGGGTTTCAGCATTTCACTCTCTGCTCTGACACGTGAACCCTGCTGCGGACAGTAACTGCTGCCTTGGGCCCGCACGGCCGATACTGCAGCGCCGAGTGGGAGCATTTGCTCGGCGGTAATGACGGGGTCTGGTGCAGGCAAGCACAGCGCAGGCTGTGATTGCAGAGGGCTAAATGGCACTGTGCGCCCGCATTTCCCTCTCATCAGATGCGGCGTCTTAAAGTCACACTGTCCTTTTGTCATGGCAGCTCTCCCCTTCATGCCATTTAATTTTTTTGTTGTTGAAATGGCTAGTGGGACTTGTACTTATTGGCAAATAGGCAGCCTATAGCAGGAGAACGGGACACTGGGCAGGGCATTGCCGTGGTTACGCGATGGAGCCAGTGATTGCAGGCCACTGCCTTGGGAAGCGGGTTGCTGCCACTCATTTGCATTGGATCTGAGCTGCCGCCCACCCTGGACGGCTGTCTGGGCTGCTTGAGGGCGAGCCAGACAGATGTACAGAGCAGAGGAACAAAGAGATGGTGTCGAGGCAACCTGCGCCCTTTGTCTGCAGGCCGCAGGGACCGGTGGGCAGTTCAGGGTGAGGCTACCGGTAAATTCTTGCCATACAATTCCTGTGATAAAAGTGGAGACCCTTCATTTTCTGACCTACACCTTCCCTGCCTATCCTTTGGTCCCCAGTGTGATAAGCTTTCTGTAGTTTTCTCTTTAAGATGTTCACCTTTTACTTTTTTAAAGCTTTGATATGCTATTTCTATTGCTGGATTTTCCAATTATAGTTCCTCTATTCTTGTTCACAACTGTAGCAGGGCAGCTTCAAAAGGGCTAGTAAGAAAAAAAAAAAAAAAGGGCTAGTAAGTTTGTTTGTTTGTTTGGGTTTTGTTTTTGTTTTTGTTTTTTTTGGAGAGGTTTTTGCCATAGGGCGCATGCGCTCGCCAGACAGAGACAGAAAGCGAGAAATCATCCCCCAGTGGGGATGGCCATGCCTCAATCCCTTCTCCTCCATTCTCCTCTCGGGATCTTGGGCACATACACGCGCCCGGTGTGAGTTTAAGCCACCGGGTCTCGGACACGAACCGCAGTCAACTACGTGGGAGTCCAGCGACATAGCCATTATGCTAACTGCTGGTCCCAAAAGGACTAGTAAGTTTTGTGTTGATGTGTTACCAAACTAAAACAGCCCTCTGAAGATGGGAGTTGATTGACTGACTGACAGTTTGGGGGGCAGACCCCCTCTACAGGGGGTTACCCCCTGATCCTCCCCTCCTACGAGCCTTTCCAACCAGCCAGCACCATGGACG